CAGCTTCATTCCAGCAGCTCGTCCTCTGGGGCATGTGGCAGTGCTCCTGAAGCCAAGCTCATGGCAGTGGGTGCTGACTTGGCCGTGATTTGCTGCACTGGCACTTGTCATCGTTTTGTTTTTGTTTTGTGAAATTGGGGCTTGCTGCTCACATTGCATATGCAGAGAGCAGCAGATGCTCACAGTCGCACTCAGTTCATTTCCATCATAGAGTTGGACTTCTTACAGAACTCCAGATTCCAAGGCGCTTACACCACTTAGTTTTTCTGAGAAGTTTACCATTTAAGTCTCCTAAAAGTGGCAAACATTAGCATCCAAAAGGTATTTAAGTTTATTCTTTCAGTCTTCTCCATATAATAATTAATGATCCCAATTTCCTCACATCCCAATGAAGCAGAGATCCAACCGTGTAAAGTGGTGTAAATGCATCACTCCAGGAATATCACAGCTAGGAAGGGAACGCACGTCCAAGCTGCTACTGCTGCTGCTTTTGCCATCCCTCCCATCCTCTGAGCACCTTTTCATCAGTACCGTGCAGGTGCTGGCCTGCTTGTAAATGTTGGCATGTATGTCGCACATGGCTTAAGTTAGAACAATCGCCGCATGCCTGTCATCCATTTTTGAAGTGAGTCTTAATCCCTATAGCAGACTCATGACTGGTGTTACAAGGAACCCAGAAGAGAACACAGGCCCTCAAGAATGTTTTTGACTTGGAGAGGGCTCACTGTTTTGCAAGGGAGTATATCATTTTTGCATGGAAGCAGCCATTAAGTTCTTTCCATCATTCTAACTTTAATAGCTGTGTTGTGTGGCTGTGCTTTTTTTGACTCTTGACTTCTTTCAGGCCTGTAGGAAGAGCCTGGGCAGTGGGCCCTGCCTTGGGGCTCTCACTGTGCCCTCACATTACTTTTCATTTATTTGACATCTTTCTCATTCAAAATGACGAATGAACCTTTGTACTGTGCAAGTTGTAGTATTCAGTGACAGGGTATTATGAGCTCTTTGTGCACATAATTCCATGTTATGAAAACCTTTCACCAACTTCTTAAATTGGCTGGTTTGAAGTGCACATTGTGTTATGGCATAATCTGTATTATTAAGAATATGAATTGGGGAATTAGCATTAGATCTTTCAGAAAGAATTGGGAATTCAAAGAGAAAGACATGCCTTCATTCTTCAGTCTTGATTTAGGGTATGTTATTTAACATGTCATTTCTCCTAAGTATCTGACTTCAGTTTCTTCATGGGACTTGCTGAGATGATTTCAAAACTTTTGTTTAACTATATTTTGGGAACATTTACCAGGACGTTTCTTAAAGACAGTAATCCTTTCTTCAATTGCTGCTGTTTCTGAAAGATAAACCAGACTTTGTGGTTCATGATAAGCCAAAGACATGGTCTGTAATAAATAGTGTTGCTAGACAGACACTGTACAGAGCACATCATTGAGGCTGAGTTTCCATCTTTAGGAGCTTGGCATCAATGACGAAGAACGTGAGCACATATGAAGATTTGGGAGATATAATGACAGTGGAATACTAAAACACTGACTACATATGTGTGTCTCTTCAACAGGACTTCACTCATATAATTTAGAATTTATTCCATGAGCTAAGACACAAAGTCATACTAAGGAATAAAACATGTCCTGGAGTTCAGGAATTTCAGGGTTACCTTCTTGCCTCATGAACGCTCTTAATTCACCCTTTCACTTTATTTGTGCGTTTCGATTCAATCAGTTCTGTTTGTTGAACAGCATTTAAGTGCAGATTCTCTGGGCAATCTCTAGGCTACCTCTCAGATCCATCCTCTATTGCCGTGTGACAAATTACCCCAAAACGTTGTGGCTTAAAGCAACTTAGAGGTTTTGCTGGATGGTTGGGTTTGAGTGTCTCGTGAGATTGTGGTCAAGATGCCAAGTGAGGCTGCAGTCACCTGAAGTCTTGCTGTCTCAGATGACTCACTTTGCTGGGTAGTTGGTACCAGATGTTACAGGAGGATGACTCACTTTGCTGGAAGTTGGTACCAGATGTTACAGGAAGATGACTCACTTTGCTGGAAGTTGGTACCAGATGTTGTAGGAGGCCTCTTCTCCTTGCCATGAGGGCTGCAGTCTTTCCCAGAGCAGTGGCCCAAGAGAGATCAGGGCAGAAGTGCAATGTCTTCTTCACCTGGCCTCGGGGGTTAGACTCTGGCATCTCCTTTGGCTCCAGGGATCAGCACTGTTCAGTGTGGGAACATCTATCTAGGGTATAAATACCAGGAGGTGAGAATCCGGAGGCCATCCTGGAAGCTGGTTATGGTAGCCCCGGATATTTGGAGGTGAGTCTGCCCCACCGTTTCCCCTCCTCAGGTAAGCAAGTTTCCACGGGACAGTCCTCATTTAAAGAAATAAGCCAGTTGATTGGGAGAACCTTCGACACACGGTTTCCCAGTGTGCTCCTCGGTACGTGCACATGCCTGTTATCTGACAGCTTGCAACCCCAAGCCTCACTCCTTTCCTCCAGCCTCTCCGTGAGAAATTCTCATTGAGCGCCCATTGTGTACTTCACCGTTCCTTACTGAGGTCACCTCGGTATGAGGAAAATCGAAGATCTGGGTTACCCTCACGAGCTGGCTTCAACCCCCTCTCAGTTTTCTGACTTCAGTCCCCATGGAAAGAATCCTGGGCACCTCACCCATTGCTGGTGGCCCTGCGTTGAGTCCAGAGAGTACGGATCCCATCGGAAGCTGGCTCGTGTGCCCAGGAGGCTGCTTTCTCTGCACCTGTGGCCTCGCTTCTGGGGCAGATTGAATTGGGTACACCCAATGCATATGTTGAAGTTCAGATCCCTGGTACCTGTGAATGTGACCTGATTTAGAAAAAGGGTCTTTGCAGGTGTAATTAGGTAAGATGAGATCACAATGGAGTCGAGTGAGCCCTCCATCCAAAATGACTGGTGTCCTTGTAAAGAGAAGAGACACAGAGACAGAGGAACACAGAGGAAAGACAGCCATGTGACAATAGGGGCAGAGACTGCTGTGATGCTAGAAAGAGGCCAGGGAGGACCCTTCCCAGGAGCCTTTGAAAAGAACACGGCCCAGCAGAAACTTTGTTCTTGGACTTCTGGCCTCCAGAACCGTGAGATGATCCATTTCTATTGTTTTAAGTCCCCCATTGCATGGTACTTTCTTACAGCATCCTTGGCAAACTCACACACCATCCAGGAAAATTACATCTGATGGTGGTGTTACTGCTTCACGACTCTTGGGAGCGGTTTAGCAGGAGGGGGAGGTGCAGGAATTGAGGGAAATCATGTCACCTGCACTAGGCATTTGCAAATCAGCCAGTTTCTTTGAGAGAGTAAGAAAGCAATTAGAGAAAAGACTAATATTGATAATAATAACAACAATAAGAAGTACTGTGTATATGTGATTAGTCAAGCACTTACAAACTTTACTTGCATTCATTAAAAATTTCCTTACATCAACCCGATGGAAGGAACGTAGAAGAACAAACAGTAGATGAGGATATTATTTGACCAAGGACTCTGAGAGGAGTGATGCCCATGGACAAGTATTAGGACTTGAGGGGGCCAAGTCCTGAACCAATGAGCCAACGGAGATCCAGATATCAGCCTTCGGTGCTGGGTAGTGCTGTGCCCCTGAGCCTCTTGCACAGACAGGGCCCTGCCTGCTAAGCAGTGGGCAGTCCCCCAGAAAGAGGCTCAGGAGGGAGGCCCCAGGCAGTCCCTCCTCCCAGTTACCCTGCCTTGCAGAGGCTGGGAGTACACTCACGCAGGAAACCCAGGAGTGGTGGGGCTGCCCCTCCATGACTCCACCTAGGGAAGAAGCTCGACTTTGCTGAGGTGGGTTGGAGAAGGCACTGGAAACTTAGGAGTCTGGGACTCTTTTTTTTTTTTTTTTTTTTTTTGGGATGGAGTCTCGCTCTGTCCCCAGGCTGGAGTACAATGGCGTGATCTCGCTCACTGCAAGCTCCGCCTCCCAGATTCACGCCATTCTCCTGCCTCAGCCTCCCAAGTAGCTGGGACTACAGGTGCCCACCACCACACCTGGCTAATTTTTGTATTTTTAGTAGAGATGGGGTTTCATGGTGTTAGCCAGAATGGTCTCAGATCTCCTGACCTTGTGATCCGCCCGTCTCGGCCTCCCAAAGTGCTGGGATTACAGTGGGATTACAATGACCTCACCGCACCCAGCTAACGAGGCCTCTTTTAATACAAAGAAGCCCAGTCAAGACCAGTGGGATTTGTCTATGATCCAATAAGTGTTTTCTTTGTATTCAGTTTAGGGGAGGAATTGACTTGGGCCTTGAGGAACCATTTCCAGGGAGGACAGCAGGAACAGAGGGGGCAGGCGCCATCTAACTCTCAATGCACCCCTGGGGTCAGGAGCCAAGCGCCATCTCAATGCACCCTCCAGGGGGTCAGGAGCCAGTGCCATCTCAATGCCCTCAGGGGTCAGGAGCCAGTGCCATCTCTCAATGCACCCTCGGGGTCAGGAGCCAGTGCCATCTGTCCACGCGCCCCGGGGTCAGGAGCCAGCGCCATCTCTCAATGCACCCCCAGGGGTCAGGAGCCGATGCCATCTCTCAATGCACCCCCAGAGTCAGGAGCCGTGCCATCTGTCATGCCCCTCCGGGGGAGTCAGGGTCGCGCCATCTCTCCACCCTCCCGAAGTCAGGGAGTCACAAGGTGTCTTCTGGGTGGCACTGACCACCACCTGGAGCTGCCTGGCGGTCACAAGGTGTCTTCTGGGTGGCACTGACCACCACCTGGAGCTGCCTTTCACAGGGAGCCCTCATCTGCCTGCAGGGGCCTTTGGAGATGTCCACAGAGCTGTCTCCAGGAGATGCTGGGGAGGGTGGGCAAGGAGGGCTGACCATGGGCAGCAGTGCCGGGAGGGCCCGCACCCCACTCTGGGAGGGTTGCCTTTTCTTCTTCTTCTTCCTTTTCTATTTACCTGGATCGAAATGACTTCGAATCCCACCATTTTTCAGTTTACGTCCACGTGTTCTCCGCCTTGATTGTGATCGTCGCTGGGGCCTTCGTCATCACCATCATCTACAGGTTGGTCCCTTTGTTCTTCATCAGGAGGGTGGGGAGGAGGGGGCTCGTGTCTCCTGGCCGCAGCCTCCCGCCCGACTGGGCTCCTTTGGGCTTGGTGCTGCTGGGGTAACTGAGAACAGCTCTCTGTGAGCCTGGGAACGGGAACTGGCCAGGCAGGGAGGGCCCCACTGATCTTCTCCAGAGTGCTTCTTGATGACAATCCTAACCCACATTTAGTGAGCACCTAAGACTCTAAGCGCTTTGCTCAGCCTATTCAGCCGTCGCAGCCCCTGACGATGTAAGTGCTCTTCCTGTCCCCAGATTGGGATGATTGACGCAGTATCGAGGGGGTCCCAAGGCTGATGGATGGGGCAGTGCGGCTCTAACTCAGACTCCCAGTTGTCTCAGAGCCCCTGAAGCCAAGGCTGCCTGCACTTCTTGGCCTGTGGCCTTCGTCCTTATTGCAGGGTGTCAGGGTTTGGAGACATCTCAGAGATGAGTCTACTCCCTCTCATCTTAATGGTGAGGAAATGCAGACCTTGGGGGCTAAGGCAGCAGGTGGCTGTCCCCAGGGCAGGGCTGGAATCCAGCATCTCACGCCCCGGCCAGTCACCTTTGCCATGAGCCCACTCTGTGATGTGCGTACAAGCCCCTGAGATTATTCCAGTCTCTTTGTCCGGGAATGAGTAAAGCCATTTTCCTACCATGAGTGGTGCTATATGCTGTCTTATGTGTGTTAATCATGAGGATGAACCGGCAGTAGCCTGCAGTGCCACACACACCTTCCCCCGCCCAGAGCTGTTTTTGGGAGTTTAGCTGCCTCATACAATCATCTGTTTGGAACCTGCACGAGAAACTAAAATGAGGCTGGATGTGGTGGCTCATGCTTGTAATCTCCCAGCACTCTGGGAGGCTGAGGTGGGAGGATCACTTGAGCCCAGGAGGTGGAGGCTGCAGTGAGTCGTGTTTGTGCCATTGCACTCCATCCTGGATGACAGAGCAAAACTGTCTCAAACAAACAAATAAATAAATAATAAAAATAAAAAAATAAAGAGAGAGAGAGAGAGAAACGAAAATGAGAGCTATTACATCAAAGCACTTACCTTACAAAATAAGTATACATGATCAGGAACCTGTGTTTTCAGAGGGATGTCCTGGCAGGCAGGAGGGGGGACCTGGAGAGTTTTCCATCTGTAACTTCCCTGACTGTGATAAAACCCTCTTCCCATTAGAGTCGTTCAGGAGAGCAGGAGACAAAGGGCCATCCCTACGGATGTCACGCTGCCACACAAGTCCAGCAAAAAGGCGAAGGTGGCCTCATCCAGCAGCAAATTAGAGCTGAAGCCTCCGAGTCCTGGGCCTCCGAGTGCTCGGCCCTCAATGAAGAGTGATGTGGACAAGGATGATGGTGAGAAGCTTCTGGAATGATCCTCAGCCTAAGGTTGAGGGTGTGGTTCTGTTCCCTCGGGAGACCTTCCCTGGAAAGGGCTCGGCATCTACACAGGCCCTTCAACCTCAGCGATCAGTGTTGCAGTTTGTTCAAAATTTGAATGTACCCAACACTGTAGGTTCAGGTTTGCAGATTTCCCTCTGTGAGTGTTGTCCTCCCCCTTCCCGTCCCCTGCTGCCTCTCTGTCATTTCACCCTCTGGCGGGGCCCTCAGTGTTAGTGCGGGAGGCTACCAGGGAGGGGGCGAGAGTCCCAAAGAACCTGCGCATTTGATCAGGTGACTTCCTGCAGGGAGGCTGCCAGGTTGCTGTGGGTACTCTCTGTGCACCCTGGCCGCATGGTGGTCATGGTTGTGAGGGGAGGCTGCAGGGCTGCCGTGGGTACTCTCTGTGGCGCCCTGGCCGTGTGGTGGTCGGGGTTGTGAGGGGAGGCTGCAGGGCTGCCGTGGGTACTCTCTGTGGCGCCCTGGCCGTGTGGTGGTCGGGGTTGTGAGGGGAGGCTGCAGGGCTGCCGTGGGTACTCTGTGCACCCTGGCTGCGTGGTGGTCATGGTTGGAGAGGTGGATGATCACTCTATGCCTGCCTCGGTTTCCAGGAAGGAAAGTTGCTCGTGTGTTGGTTTACCTGCTTTGAGGGCCCTGGGAGGTTGCTGGTTGCTTTTCCTAGATCAGCACCCTGCCAGGTTAGAGAACGAAACATCTCAAATGGTAATCCTTATCTTCGGAGATGTTTGCACAGGAATACGAATGGCCTGGACTTATCCATTGTTACCAAGTAGACTTGGCTTTACAGGGACCATCAGGAAAAGCAGGAGGCAGGGTAAGAGGGCGACCCACACTTGATTTCAGGTCTGGAATGCCTGGCCCCTAACCGAGGCTGCGTCTGTGCGAATGAGGTTTTCCTGCAGGACAGGTATTTGCCTGGTTAAGGGAGCCTCGAGATGATGTGGGAGGAAGAGTGTTTTACTGTCTTTAAAAGATGCTTCTTCCCTGGAATGCACGGAGGAACACGGGGCAGCATAGGGCCATCCCCCAAACTGGCTTTTGAGTCAATCATTGCCAGTTGGACACCTTGTAGATGGGTTCAAAGACCCTGATGAAATCTTTTTGGGACTGCTGAATATTCCATTTGAAAAAACAATTCTTCTTTTCTAAAAATCTAGTAACAGTGACAATAGCAGAAACCGAAGAAACTGAGGACTGACTGAAACGCATGAAGAAGTGGAGATTGGCAGAATTATCCAAATGGAATGGTACAGCAGGTGCACTGTTAACAGTGTGGTGGAATGACCACCCAATGAGAAAAAAATAAAGGTATTTTGAAAATTGCTTCTCGTCCGATGTTGCTTATCCATTGCTATATTTTTATCTTAGGAGAGAGAAAGCCTGTGGGGTAGGAGAGTGGGAGCTTGAACTTTCAGTTTTTAATGGCACTGCTTGTCACTAATATTAACACCATGGGGGCTCACAGCACAGGCTCAAGGTGGTGTCGTCGCGTGGTGGTCTTGGTTGTGTGGGGAGGCTGCAGGGCTGCCATGGGTGCTTTCCAGAAGGCAGCCTGCACTTTCACCAAGAGTGGGCTGCCACACGGATGCAGGCGGTTCAAGACTCTGGCATTTGGCTTTGCTAGGACTTGGTCATGCCGCGAGGGAGAGGCAGTGTTCGGATCTGGATCTGAGAGGCCCCAAAGCGTAGGCCGTAGCTTCCTGAGAGCCCCTCATGCAGGGCAGTGTGCTCAGTCCCAGAGTGGCCGACGGACGCTCACAGGCACCCCAGGCTGGCCCAGGGCAGCCCACGGATCTTGGAGGCTGCATTTTCTCACTTCGAAAATGTGCATTCTACACAGGAACTGTGGCCCTTATGTCCACGCATTGCAGCTTTGAAAAAGGATAATAAACAATCCAGATAGACCAGACACATCCTGCTCCAAGGAGTATATAGATGAGAAATCAGTTTGCATGAGCCTCTGGAAGCCCCTCGTCCGCTTTCTGCCTGGTCAACCTTGTCAGCTGCTGATAGGCTTGGCCCAGGGTCTGCCCTGCTCTAGGGCTTCCTGCGGGGGGAAGTTATGGGCCTGCTGTTAGCCCCTTTCTTCTCACGGGCACCTCACCGGCTTTAGGCCAATCAGGCTCTTGTATTGGTGTAGATCAGGTGTCTGCACACTTTTTGTAAAGGGCCAGAGAGCGGGTATTTCGTAGAGTGCACCTGTGTACTCTCTGTGCACCCTGGCCGCATGGTGGTCATGATAGAGCTGTGCAGATGGGGCTCGGTGGCCCTACCTGGCAGATGTTTCCAGCATGGCCCAGACCATCCCTTGCAGAGATGAGGCAGAATGGATGCCCCCACAAAATAACACTTAAAGCCCCAGGTTTGTTGGAGGCATGCCTACTTCAGAGCTTTCGTCCTTAGGAGGAAGCGGCGCATGGAGCGGCCTCCCAGCGGCCACGCTTCCTGGCCTCCCAGCGGCCACACTTCCTGGCCTCCCAGCAGCCACACTTCCTGGACAGTTGGGTCTTTGCTGCCTGTGGCTCCCCTGATGACTCCTCAGTCGCTGGAGAGCAAGTTACTGGGTGGAACACATCCACCTTTGTGGGCCCTTTAGCTGAAGCCCTCAACCCTGCCCCCTTCCCTGAAAACAATCATGGTCCAGCCTGAAAAAAGTGCCAGGTTACTGGTGGACTGGACGCTCATCAGAGACGTTAGGGGTCACCTGGGGTCTCTGGTTTGGGAAGCCGCTGTGACTCAGTAGGGTGTGGGTGTGAGGTTTGGGGACTGGCCCTGCTGAGGGCGGTGGGATAGGGAATGAAGGAAGGGAAGCAGTTCAGTGTGCAGATGGGAAGAGGATGGGGCCCTGGGGACTACTCCTGCCAGGGACCCCCAGGAGAAGGGCCAGAGCTCCTAAGTACAAGTGAGGCTGGTGGGCACGTGGCCCCATAAGGGACAGCCAGCTGTGGCCTGGATGTATGACAACCCTGCACAGGCCAGGGCCCCTGCCCTTGCGCAGTTGGTGCCCTGCTGAGTGAGGCGAGGGCCAGACAGAGCTGCCAAGGAAGTACCTCGCAGGCAGTGGCTTCTCACAGAACTCCTGGCCGGCACCCATGGGCACAGCTAGTCATGGCCAAGCTCAGAGTCAGTTTCGGAGAGGACAACCCAAAGACACAAACTAACAGGCCTGGTTTGTTGGGGTCACCAGATAGGCTACCATAGTCGTACAATATGTCCCTTGGTTAGAGGTGACTTTGCTGGTGTTAGCAGAAGTACTGTGAGCAGGGAAGGCAAATACACACCCGGGATATTGTCTATGGCTGTGAAGATTCAGTGTTGTCCCCTTTGTGATGGAAGGGCCCGATGTACTCAACCTGCTAACAGGTGGTATCCGGCTACCCTGAAAAATGGTACCACATTAGTCTCTGTTGTTGGGAAAGGTAGGCGGCTGACTGATCAGCCCTGAGAAAGGTCGGGCCATTGAGCCTGTGCACAGCCTTTATCCCTGCTGCTGCAGCTGCTCTGTGTATGAGCCCTCCAAGCAAGCCTCAGGGTAGCCGAGGAAGGGCTAGTTGACATTCACAGGACATCAGATTGTCCACAAAGTTGTTAAACGCCTCCTTGCAGTGGACATCTTGTGGTGGACATAGGTTCTGAGTGGTTCACACACGTGTTTCTCACCTTGACCCCTGATAGAGTTTGGATACTCGTCCTCACCCACATCTCATGTTGAAGTGTGATACCCAGTGCTGGAGGTATGGGACCTGCTGGGTGGTGAGTGGGTCACGGGGGCAGATCCCTCATAAGCAGCTTGAGCCATCCTCTTGGTGACAAGTGAGCTCTCTCTCTGAGCTCATGTGAAATCTGGTCGTTTGAAAGTGTGAGACACCTCCCCCACACCCTCCCTCCTGCTTCTGCTTTCATCATGTGATGCGCCTGCTCCCACATCTCCTTCTGCCATGATTGGAAGCTTCCTGAGGCCTCACCAGAAGCTGAGCAGATGCTGGTACCATCCCTTTGCAGCCTGCAGAACCGTGAGCAAACTGAACCTCTTTTCCTTATAAGTTACCAGTCTCAGGAATTCTTTGTGGCAGTGCAAGAACAGCCTGATACAACCCCCGTGACACTAATTTCCCAGTCTTATTCTCTTCAAGCCCATGGCCGGCTGGTCAACCCATGAGCCACTGCCCACAAGTTGATGTGAATCAGCACCCCAGGGCATGTCTTCTTCCATAGAATGTGGGTGGTGGATCGTGCCACACAGTTTGCTCACTGGGAGGGTCTCCTTTTATCAGTGGGTTTTGTGTGAGGCCACAGCACAGGATCTGCCTACTTGCCGCAGGGCTGGGGTACTGTACAGGTCCACCCATGAACCTACACTTTTAAGAACTGGTTTCTACCGGAGCCTAATAGCAAGCCAGGAGCTGCTTTTGGAAAGGAGATTTGCCAGCAGAAGAGGGGATAACCTCACTCAAATCTTCAGAGATTTGTGCAATGATTCTCCTATTAGAACTTGCCAGGTGGGTCCCTACAGTTTCTCAGTATGATTCAGACTGTTCTCGAGGTCTTAGGCCTGCAGGACAATGCAGAAGACTTGGCATTGTCCTGAATAAGGTGGTTGTGTAATTTATAATCCAAACCTGGACTTTTGAAAGTGAAAGGAAGTGCTATTGATAATTCTGCCAGAACAACAGGTGTACCTGGGCCTTGGCAACGAAGCAACTCATCAAAGGCATATTGCTGTTGCTGCTACATGAAGGCAGTTTCTCATTTTTCTTTATGGATGCACTGGAATAAAATATTTTTCAAGTTGACAGCTGCAAACTGGTTGTGTACCAGCTGATTTATTCTAGTAAAGGTAAATGTACAGTTGCACCTGCCATTGTCATCAACACCTCACTAAATCTGCGTAATTTACTGTTACTCTCCAAGACCCATGTGGCTGTTGTACTTGCTAAACAGGTGAGTTAAATGAAAAGTGTGACAGGAATCATCACTACGTTAGTCCATTTTCACACTGCTATAAAGAACTACCTGAGACTGGGTAATTTATGAAGAAAAGGGTTTAATTGACTCACAGTTCCACAGGCTTAATGGGATGCATGGCTGAGAGGCCTCAGGAAACTTACAATCATGGAGGAAGGTGAAGGAGAAGCAGCAAAGACCTTCTTTGGTGGCAGAAGAGAGAGAGAGAGACAGAGAGAGAGAAGTGCCACACACTTTTAAACCATCATCAGATCTCGTGAGAACTCACTATCGCAAGAACAGCAAGGGGGAGGGGGATATCTGCCCCCATAATCCAGTCACGTCCCACCAGGGCCCTCCTCCAATATGACATGAGATTTGGGTGGGGACACAAATCCAAACCGTATCAATCACCCAGGCACCAGGTCTTTGGTGGAGGCACTCATATTTGAAATCTCCTTGGAATATGATACAATTTCTTCTTCTTAACAGCTTTATTGAGGTATTATTGGCATATAACAAAGTGCACATATCTAAAGTATACTATGTTGTAAGTTTGGCATATGAATACACCCATGAAATCATCACTACCATCAAATTGATGAACACATCCATCACTCAAAAGTTGAGTCAGGCTCCTTTGTGATTTCTCACACCTGCCCTTCTTCACCCTTCCTATCGTGCCCAGTAACCGTGGATCTGCTCGTTGACACCAGAGATTGGTTTTCATTGTCTATAATTGAATTGTAAAGTATGTGTTCTTTTTTGTCTGGTTTCTTTCACTTAGCAGAGGCATTCTGACATTCAGCCATGTTGGTGTGTTCATCAATGGTGCATTGCTTTTTATTGCCGAGTAGTATTCCTTCGTGCATATACCACATTTGGTTTTTCAGTCACTTGTTGATTGACATTTAGGTAATTTCCAGTTTTTGCTTATTACAGATAAGTCTTCCATGAATATTCACATACAAGTTTTGTGTGGACATATGCTTTCATTGGTTTTGGATAAAGACCTAGGAGTGAAATGGCTGGGCCACATGGTAGATGTATATTTATTTTATTTTATTTTATTTTATTTTATTTTATTTTAAGACAGAGTCTTGCTCTGTTACCAGGCTGGAGTGCAGTGGTGTGATCTCAGCTCACTGCAACCTCCGCCTCCTGGGTTCAAGTGATTCTCCTGCCTTAACCTCCCGAGTAGCTGGGACTACAGATGAGTGTCACCATGCCCAGCTAATTTTTGTATTTTTAGTAGAGATGGGGTTTCACCATGTTGGCCAGGATGGTCTCGATCTTCTGACCTCGTGATCCACCTGCCTCAGCCTCCCAAAGTGCTGGGATTACAGGCATGAACCACCATGCCCAGTTGTATATTTAAC